GCTGTCTGACAGGGACGTCCGGGCACCAACCTGGATTGTATCCAAAAAACATAAAACTCACTGCAACTCACTGCAGAATTAAATGCACACACCAACTCTCCTGATTCCACCAAAACTGTTCATCAGGAGCTACACAGGGTCAATATTCATAGTCAGGCTGTTATAGCCAAACCTTTGGTCACTCCTGCCCATGTCAAACGTCGGTTTCAATGTTGCCAAATCTTGGTCTGTGGACATTGTGAAATATATTGCTCTCTGATGAGTCCACCTTCACTGTCTTTCCCACATCCGGGAGAGTTACGCTGTGAAGCCCCAAAAGAAGCCATACACCATACTAATACATCATTGTGGTCTAAAACCAGGTGTCTCCGCTTCATTGTCCATCCTCTTTATAAATAAAGGTGAGAACCAGTTGCATATGGATCGTTTTGGGGTATGTGCAAATAAGTTTACGACGTCAAAACATACAGCACAGTATGAGTACTCTCTGTGTTCTGAACCCAGGACAGGCATGCATCACTTTGCATTTTCTGGCAAAAAGCCAGAACTTGAGCAAATTGTAAGAATAATACAATATGTGAAAAGATGTACGAGCTCTGAGGGCAGGTATGCAATGTGAGGCCGAAAGCACTGAGGGAAGAATTAATCACCCCAAAGAACAAAGAGGTATAAAAAACACAAAATATCAAGGTTAGTAGATTCTAACACCTATAAGAGAAACTTAAAAGAAGCCATTACGCAAACAGACATTATTATACAATATTTGCGGCTCATTGACAACTAAATGACCTCCGAGCGTTAAACACCTTTCATTTGTAAGTGGTAGCAGAAGCTGCAAGCAATTAAAAATGACCACCGGTAGCAGGCGTCTGCGTGACCTGGGCTGGTGTCAACCTTCACTTCTTAATTTCCCCCGGCTGATGCTAATCAGCCCTAGCAGGGGCTCTAAGATGCAGACTGCCCTTTGCGGTAGCTGGCCCCAAGCTTGGGAGGTCTGCACCTTCATATCAGGACTGCGCCAACTTTGGACCCGTTTAAAACCATAATAAAATCCCACTTTGTCTCCTTGGCTTTTTAAACTAGCATGAGAGTGTTTGTCTCATCCATCCATCCATCCATCCATCCATCCATCTATCCATCTATCTATCTATCTATCTATCTATCTATCCATCCATCCGGGTGTCTGTCTGTGTGTCCGTCTGTCTATTCTGCTCGTTTAATGTATTTTTTTTACTATTTTTGGAAATTGCATGACACTTTGGTCGAATGATATTATTGTAAATTTCTTTATGGATAAGATTGACAGACTTTGATTTGACACCCCCAGGCCCAAATTCTCAGGATTCAAGATTTAAGATTTTATTTTTCACATGCACGGTTGCATTGGCACAGCTTGCAGTGAAATGTAAATCTTGCTTGATTCAGAGACTGTGCAAAAGATGGACTTTAGATAAATCAAGGTTAGTAAATAAGACATGTGTGCATCTTTTTTTGACATTTTTTGTTTTGTTTACTTTTTTCATCCACTGGTTAGCATGCTCCAGGCGTGTGTGGGCTTGCGTGTTCTCTCCATGTCGCGTGAGTTTGTTCCAGACACTCCAGTTTCTCCAAAGACAAGCAGTCAAGCTAATTGGTGTCTTTGAGTTGCCCATAGTGTTTGGCTGCATGTGCCCTGTCCGCGGTGGACTCTGGTCTGGTGCCCTATGGGTAAGTGGTCACCCAGGATAAGTGGTTAGAAGATAAGTGTTGTTGATATCCAGATATCTATGACTTAAAAGGTACAACTCTAATGGAATCTAACTGTGAAAGGTTATAAGAACAAAGGCTATGCAGTACAGTGGGCTCGGACTCTGGCCCTGTGATCAAAAGGTCACTGGTTCAATCCCTGTGGTAAGCAAAGTGCCATCAGTCCTGGGTCCTTTAGCAAAGCCTCCAGTGCTGCTGTCTGACCCTGCTCTCTGATTTTCACTTATATGCCGTTTCAGGACAAATATGTCCACTCAAATGTTAATTGAAGACTAAGTAAAAATTATTAATAAGGTCAAATGCTGCTGCCTTACATTAATTTGATATAATTTTATTTAAGATACTTCAGATTATTATAAACAGTTTAATTAAACTATAGTTTTAACGATGCTTTTTGAAGTTGAGATTCCGGCATATTTCGCAGGAACGGTCTTGCCCTGAGCCCATACTATTATAATCCTAGTTGTGCGTGTGGGCAGGGATAATCGCGTTCCCTTGCCATGTGCCACCCGGCGAGCCAATCAGACGCACGCCTCGCGCATAATTTAGCAAAAGGGAGGAGGGAAGCGCGCAGAGCCCGCTAGAGGCGGCCCAGTTCCTGAGTGACAAGCAATGAGAGTTAGCTGCTTTCCCTACAGCTGCCACAGCAAGGAAGAGGTCTGTGCTGTAAGTAGATGAGTGCATTCACAGCTTACTCGGAACACGCGCACACACAAGCGCACAGGCACGCACACAGGATGCATGCACCTGTGTTAGTCATTAATGCCAGGCCCCGCCCAAGCACAGTCACCACATGACGTGCAGTAACTGTAGTTTTCATACAACAAAAATAGCACGAAGTAGTAGAATTTTATTTTGACAGCGTAAGATGTTGAATCAGAGGAAATAGATGTGTCTAAATGCTGTGGGCTTGTAGAAGATTACAGAGATTACAAAACGTTATCTGCATGAAGCCCATTTTCAAAGAGGCTGTCTTTCATGATCCCTTACAAGTCACACTTGCAGCATATAGCCTGTGTGTGCGTGTTCATGAATGTGATGTTGATTAAATTCACCACTGTATGTATGGACGTACTTACTCTGTCGTGGTATTATTAACCACTTCTGCTTTCCATGGAAATGACAGTCCTTCGGATGAATGGTGACTTGCACCACGACTTGAACTTACAGAATGTGAAGTGTGTATTTGTCACGGCTCCAGTGTACGGTGCGTGATGCAGGTGTCAAGGTAGACATCTTTGATGGCTGTGGAGGACATGTTTCTGTCACGTGAAGGTAAAGAAAGGGACGCATGGCAGCTTCTAACACGAGCGACGCATCAGTCTGTTTCAAAATGTGTCCCTTCAGACGGTATCACCATCATTCACCATGACTACAAGGGTGCACAAACATAAGACTGCTAATCTGCAGAATAAAATGGTACATTGAGGTACGCTGCAATGTGGATAGATGCTTCATAAAATTCGTTAGATCAGGACAAATACAGTACAGCACCGCATCAAATGTGGTTAAATAACATGTGTTCTGCGTGTATTATTTAATTTTTCAACAGGTCCAGATATTGTACCAGATATCATTGTAATCAATAGGAGAGTATCGGTCCAATAGCTGAGCTAGTATATCAATTGCGTTCAGTCTTTTGTCCTTCATGAAGTTACCACAAAACCAATAGTTAAAAAAAAAACTGTAATCGCCGCTAGCGAACACAGCATACCGTGTCGTGTAACCCACACCCCACTCAGTTTCACGGCTGTAACCCACACCACGCGCCATTTCGTAACATACTGCAAATTTACACTATGTACAATCTGGGGGGGACAGTTCGTTTGTACTCAATGTGTGCTGTCACGTATTTTTTTTTGTTTGATGGCACATCCTGCATTTCTTATGGACACGCTTGTGGGCATCTGATTTTGTTATTCCGCCGCAAAGTGTAAAAGCGACCATGCACATTTATTAAGTCGACCTAGATGCCGAAAAAACAGAAAGCTCCAAATGGCTATTCGTGGAAAAAAGAAAAAGGAAATCATGCGCTTGATCAGGCGTGGCGCTGTCTGAGCTCCTAGTCTTAGGCCGACCCGCAGAGCCCGATCCCGCTGAATGGGGCAGTGTTGCTCTTTTGCGCGGACGAGCCGCGGCCGGCCGATCCTGTTACCCTACGTGCCGCATCGTGCGGAGTTTTGCCAAGCGCGCGTCGCGTTATATACCGCATACCTGTGAAACGACACTTAAAACGTTATAAACCAACACAGTTCGTCGGGGCCGCTTTTACATTTCCGATTGCATCACCCACGCGTTTCTAAAAAACCACGTTTAGTGCCAAGTGGTACTTCAGCAATAAGAAGTTAAATAATACGCACCCATTGCAATTAAATAGATTTGTCAATGTAGGCCATATTATTATTAGGGGTGGGTGATGGGAGCGGCTGTGGCAATGGCTAATGCAGTAATGCTCCCCCCACCTCCGTGTCCCTTTTTTCCACCAAAGTACAAAGGAAGACGAGAAATGAACGATACCAACTCAAAAAGGTATCAAATGTGTAACGTGGAGCGATTTACTTTTAAACGTGTGTCACTTAAATTTACTCATTTTTGGAGAGGATCGCGTCAGTCTGGCGCGTAGTAGACATTTCCCGGATAATTTGAGTCATATGATGCACAAAAAAACAAAACAAAAAAACCCCCCAAGTGTCCACATAGTCTTACTGTAAAAATGGACTCTTTGCTATAAGTCGAGGCAGGTGTCTTAAGAAATACGACGACCCCCGTGTCCGTTTATAAGCATGAGTGTCTATAATGCGCTAAAATATGAACTTTAACGAAATGCGTTTAACACTTTGTGGCCTGATTTTCAGTGCCGACTCCATTTTGAAGAGCCAGACCGGCCGAGAACTGGCTCAGTTACTCGCCCTGCTTAGCACGCCATATCGCCGCAAAACAACGGGGGTTCCCGGTACATGTCGGATCTATGAACTGGTGGGCTCATTTGTGCATAAATAAGGCTTGATAAACACATACAAGTTCAAGATTTAGCAGATGACGCCTTTATAAGGAAGGTGGAACACGGTGCGCTTGTTCTGACATTGTAAGAGAGCTTTAATGAAATAAACTTAAAATATAACGGGGTGTATAGGCGTGCATATCAGAGGACTGTAATGAGGGTAGGTCAAGCTTTCTGTGAATGGACACTTATGCAGCAGTTTGTCTTGGATGTGCCGTGCACTTTTAAGTGCGTGAAGTCTGCTGCTGCCACAAACCGGGGGGGATGGGTATTCGCCGATTGGTTGCTCGTAGACCGGCACACACATCCAAGGCTCGCAATATAACCAGGGGCAGGTCGACTGCTAAAGAAACAATTATCATTTATTTTAAAATGAAAGTGCAGATGTTACGTCACAGGGAAGCGTGAACTGTATGTAGCAGTTAGAAACTCCGGCCGGGGGAAAAGGAAGCATTGCATTTGAGAGTGAAATTGCTACATGCATCTGTTTGTGTTTTGAAGGGGCCGCCGGTAAAGTAATAGCTACTGTAGCTAGCGAGCTAAAGTGTGGAGAATATGAGCGCAGGTCCCGGCCTACTGTTGCCGCCGCCGGGATTTTGCAGATCCGCTTTCACAAATCGGAAAAAATACACGCAATATGTCACAATCTGAAAGTATTTCGGTCGTTTTTGTTGTGACCGAGATGTAAATGGTAAGATTTCGGAGGATTTTTTTAAACTCTCGTGTGTTTTTCAATATGTTAAATAAACGTGTCGTTTTTTTTTTCCCCCACCCCAACGTGTATTCATCTGTCGGGTAATGCGTACGTCTGCAACTCTGCATGCATGTGTGTTAATTGTTTTATGATATTGTCGAGCTGCATGTACCAAAACAGAGTAAGTAGTACATACTGTACGTGATTGGGTACCTCATGATCTGTCTTGTGCATGATGCTGAACATCAGCTGTGCCATAAGCCGGCTTGCATTCATATATGTTTAATCCACGCTTCTTATACTTTGCCTTAAAATCCATGCTAACTTTACTCCCGTACCACGTAGAGCGGGGCTACCATGGTGCGTCAAATGCATGCCCTTGAGTCAGCCTAAGCAACATTGCAGCGTTACTGGGTCCGTTTGGCAAAACGTTACAAGATAGGCCAGATTGATAGCTAGCTGCGTATAGCACACTGGCTCTACGACATATTGCACATTTTCAGGCGTCTGCGTTAAAGGGTAAAGCCTGTAAAACAGTCATTGGGCAGCTCCTACGGGATTAATTAGTTTGGGGGAATTGTCGGTCCATAAGATTTCTTACAGGTGTACGGTTGCTTTTTACAAATAAACCGTTATTTTACGTTTCCTCGTTATGAATACTGTACTGCAAAAGAAACTGAGCATTCATTTACGTATAGGATCTGTTTGATTTGTTTACAGCAACATAGATTATGATAAATGTTTATGATTTTGAAATTAAGTAGAATTTGTTGTTTAAATAAATACTCACTGTAAGTTGAGCAGCACTGTTTTTTTCCCCCCTCTTTTTCAGGATGGAGCCATGACAGCATGAATCAGTCATACGAACTGACAATTCGAGATGCATTGGAGTGCTGCTCCACCCCACTGGAGTTTCAGCCCCCTGTTGGTTCCATCTCACCCTATGGCCAGCAGTACGGCAGTGATCTCGAACCCGGGCCGGTGGGCGGAGTCCCACTCCCCACAGCTCCGGCCTTCAGACCCGGACCTGGCTATGCGTACGGTCGCCATGATCGCTCCTCCCACCCTTACAGCCCACTAAGGAGACTCCAGGACTTGACCTCCATGGTGAGCAGGCCGGACCTCGCCTTGCCCGACGGGGAACCGCAAGGACCCCGAAATGATTTGCACACTTGGAACAACCCCATGGGGAGGGCCGACTTCGGGACCCCCCCGGGGAACGCAGCCTCATCATCAGGCAGGAATCAGACTTACCTGTCGGATCAGAACTTGGAGAGGGGCGACTGCCTGTCTCCCCCGAATCCGGACCTCTGCCTGGAGCAGAACAGCACTATCCCCAACGGGTACCTGCACTTTGAGTCCACCCTGTTCGAGAACGGCGAGGCCAAGGAGGACGAGGAGGTGACGCCCCACCTCTTGGGCTCCTCCAAGAGAGAGCGGAAAGCCGGCGCCTCCTGGAGCCCCAGGGCAAGCACTGGTGCTCCCCGCCCGGCCGCGGAGAAAGGGGCGGCGGCGGGCAAGTCCGTGGGTGTGTGCTCACCTAACGCCATGGGTGCGGGAAGGAGTTCTGATGAGGATTCGGGTGGCACTCACAGAATTCGCGGAAAGAATGCCCCCAGACTTAAAATGGCAACCCCCAGCCCTGACCCATCTCAAACGGCTGAATACGACATCACATCGCCCAGTCAGGCTTCCACAAGTCCTGTAAGCTTTCTGCCAACCTCCCCCCCCCCATTTACTCTGTTCTAGTTACTCTGTAATTTCTAGGCAATGAGGGGAAAAAAAATGGTGCCTTTAGTAAACTTGGCCGAAACAAACATCTTACACGCCAGATTTATCCAGCTGGAACACTGCAGTAACATAAACCACATCCTCTACTGCCCTAGATTATACCTGAACACACGTTAGTTTAGTCAAACGTCACCAGGCTAACTTTATCAAATGTTGGATGTTTGTTCATGCTCATTCTAGCTATTTTCAAAATATCTAAAGCTAGCAGTTTATATAAATGTGTAGAACTATAGAAATGAGCTTTAAGATATGTCAGCCTGTGCAAATATCCATCCGGTTTTTATCCCACCACTGGGAATGGTTATTCGGAATGTTCTCCTTGGTACATTTAACTAGTGCCGGTAGTAAAAATCAAAGAAAGAAAAAAGTTATTGTTTTCCATGTCGGGAAGTAGGTGTTCTTGACTTTGCCGCTGATGTCCACAATTTCCGTGCCGCCTCTCGAGGAGAAAATGACAAGGGATTTCCCAGAGAGACCTCTCGCAAAATTGCACATGTGACATCACGCGCCAGGTCGTGTCCAGATGTGGGACAAGATATGGTCATACTGGTCACTGGAGTTTTCTTTGGTACAAGTGAACTTAATCAACAGAGGGGTCGTTATCAACAGAAGGAAAATAGATTAAGAACAGGTATATCGTGCCTTATTTGCTGTAGGACAACTGAAAAATGCCAGGTCACTGTGGCCTTCCACTATATTAATTGTATTTTCAGATTCATTTCACAAAAATAAGAACCATTCATATTTTTCGTTAGCTCCGCTTAGTGTTGAGTGGTTAAATCTTCCATATTTTTTGCTTTAATCTTTATGCTAATTAGAAGAGTCCCTAGATTAAACACATTCCTTTACAGCAAAGTATTTATCAGTCAGTTTTGACACCTGAATTTACTGGCATGAAAAAATAGTCACCTCACAACATTAGTTAAGGTGTCTGTGGTATATAATTGTGATTTCATCCTCAGCTTACACTGGTCTACAAACTCATTTAATGACAGCCTGCTCTAAATTTAAATTTACTACCACCAGATTTCAATTTTTAAAATCTTCTTGTCCATGAATTCCAGTGTAGTATCATTGCAAACCTCATAAATGATTTCACACCCCAAAACATATGCAAAATAGTTTATATATATTGTAAATACAGTATAATAATATGTAATCACTTAAACCAAGTAAATGTGGCTGCTTTCTGAAGCCATTTTTAGCCTTATGGCATGTAATACTGCTTTGGTTCAGCTAACAGTAAACGGTTAAACTTAGTGTGATGTAGATCGTATTTCATAAGAGTAAAATCTGTATATGAGGTGGACTGTGCTTTACACTCTATTTTGAGAGCGAGCCTCCAGTTTATGACAAGTTTTTGAATACAGTCAGATTATGGATTAAAACAGCGGCCGTTCTGCCTTAATTTCAGGTTCATTTCATCATTGTGTTTATCACATAGAGTTTTGAACGCTGTAGATTAAAGTTGTAATCGTCTCCCAATGAGGGGGAAGTCCACTGTAACGTTCCTCAGGTGATAAATGCAACCGAATGGCGGTCCTGTAAATTGAATGCAACCTTCAGTGTTTTCCCTTAACTACATGCAACACCCCATGGAAAAAGTGTAGCTTTTCTGCTGATTACAGAACCTCCTTTAGGTCAGTGTCCTCCTGGCTCTGTATGATGTTGTCCTGCTACAAATGAACAGGATAAAAAGTATTGCAGGAACCCACAATTCCTTAGCTGACTAAAATTTTGACGGACGTAGGTTAATTTGCATCGGTTGGCTTTCTTCAGTAGGACAGCTGGACTTGTAAACACAGGTTTACACATTCTAAGGTTTCAGAAATGGGACTAATTCTTTTAAGCCGGATACAACTTTAGAAACGTCCAGCTTTTATCAAAAATTCAGAAGTGCATTTTCATTTTCTCATCCGCCTTTCTTGGAATTTATCGAATCTAAAAAGTCTTTGGGGTATTACAGTGACCCCCTGCCTATCACGGAAGTTACGTTCCAGAACCATCAGCAATAGGTGAAAATCCGCGATATAGAAAGACCATATAAATATATATATATTTTTTTATAGTTTAAGCCTTAAAATACCCCTCCCACATGCTTTAAACACATGTAAACTTATTAAAACACACTTTGTAAACACATATATGTGGATGTCGGGCTAAGGATATGAGTAACATAATAATAATAATATGTAATGTGTGTGTGTGTGTGTGTGTGTGTGTATACACACACACACATACACACACACCGCAGAGAACTGTGATGCATGGGGGAAAAATCTGCGATATAGCGGGGGCACGATAGCTGAACCGCGATATAGCGGGGGATCACTGTATTTACTTTCTGTGAAGAGAACTTTGTGTTCACATTTTTTTGCTGCAAACAAAATACTTTGACCTGAAATGAACTCGTATTTTGCAGCCCTTTATACATGGAACCCTCCAATTACTGGTATATTTGCCAGAATTTAGTTGTTTTTGGGCATACGATCACTTTAATTAAGGAATTATTATAATTTACCCTCACACAGGCAGAAATGAACATATTACCAAAATGAAACTCCTATTGTGATTGTAACAGGTGTTTATCTTAAAATGTGAAGCCCATAGACTGCTTACTGCTACATAGCGGTCTAATGAGCTTTTCCATGCTGTCCACTTTCATTGAGTTAATTTCCAATGTAAACACCCGTTTATGAGAATCGTGAACTGATTAAGTTCTGATGGATCATGCAATAGCTGACTTTGGTTAAGAACTTCCAAGCTTACTGTTGGACACCAAAAACAGAGCAACTATATGTTTGGACAAATATAATGATGCATTCATCGTAGTAGGTCCAGCCCGCAATGGCAGGCTGTGAGCAGACAGTGGCCTCTAATGAGACACACTTGAGCGCGAGTTGATGCTTAAGTTCAGGCTCACGGGAGATGAAACCCTGAAGGAGCACGACACTGCCAAACAGAAGATCGAGAGAAGCAGGGTGGCCTTTGTAAACTCTACTAGTCGGACGGAGGGAGGTGGTGCAAGAATGCTGCACAGAAACCTGAAATCTTGCTTCCACCTTTCCCTGTTACACTTCAGGCCTTTTTTAAATTAGCAAATTAAAAGTTCTATGAGTTTTGGCTGTACAGGGAGAACATGCACTGCAGACTCCTCACACACAGAGCAGAGGCTGGATTCAGCCCCATCTCTGGAGGTCTGAGGCAGCAGTAGCTGGGGGGAGGGCACTAGGTCTTGCATGGCAGAAGCATTGAGATGGGATGCATCCTTCAGTGTCAGAGTTATGTATGTGTCGGTAGCGAATGTTCCTTAGAGTAACATGACAATTGTGCCTTTGCAGACTACTGTCTCAAAAAACAAGCCACTTCCACCAGTGAAGTTCAAAGAGGGAGATGTGGTTTGGGCCAAATTCAACCGCAGACCATGGTGGCCATGTCAGGTGGTCAAGGAGCCTCTGGAAGGGACCTGCTTTAGAATAAAAGGTGGATTTCAGTGTTTTCAGTACATTGTATTGATGTCTGCGTGATTGTTAAATGTATTTGTTGCTGGTAAACTTGGTGATGGATGACTAAGACTATGCACTGCATGGTGGACAGTTACTGATAGGTGTAATCTACTTCATTTATTTGTTCCTGTTGGGTGAATCCAGTGGTTGACAACATGGTAATCTATCCTGCAGTGGGTTGAAAGTCTTTCATTAGTTGTTCTCACTGGATTTGAAGACCTCATGTTCATATCTATATGATGAATATTAAGTAACCTTTATCCTATTGTTACATTGTTACATATTGCATGTGCTTTTTTATGTCTCGACAGTATATTACCATGTGAGTATCATTTCAGATTCCAGTGAGCGCCCCTGTCGTCAGTATTTTGTCAAGACGCTGGGGGAAATCATCGACCAAGCTTGGGTCCCTAAAAAGGCAACTCAACCCTTTGAGGGTGGCTACCAGTTTGACAGCCTCCCCGTGCTTCGAAGGAGAGGAAGGCAGAAGGACAAGAACTACAAATACACGGTGAAGAATTACAAATGCACACACGTCGGAGGGCTTAGATTTCTTTGAATATGTTGTACCATATCGATTAATTTGAAAGCTGATTTTGTTGTGTCTAATTAGTGGCGCTTTTGTGTTCAGATACCCAAGCGTTTTCTTGAATCGTGGAGGACCAGTATAGAAGAAGCAGAAGTGGTTCTCTCAAAGGCCCTTTCCACTTCCTCCTCCCAGAATTACAATCACACTGATGGGTGTGTACCTAGGAAAGGGGCCAAATCCTCTTGCACTTCAGAATCCACGGAAACCCCAACGTCAGATCACCTTCTCAATGGAGAGGGAACAGTGCCCAGAAAGCCACTGAAAGTACCTGAGAGTCATGCAGCTAGCTCTCGGATTAAAAAGAAGCCAGGTAGCTCGTTAAAAACGCCCAGCACTAAAAAGGAAGAGTCACCCAAACATAAATTCGAGGGTAATCGAAACGAGGTTGAGAAGGAGTCTGAGGAGTCTCCTTATTCCAACGTTGAGTTGATACCAAGGATTCTGTACCCAAAAGCTCTTGATCAAGCCTCGGAACTCAACCACGGCTTCTCTTCCTCGTGTCCCAGGAAAGAGCTGCGGAAAAAACCAGCACGGAAGAATGTCAAAGGTCTTAAAAAGCCACGGAAGGGATCTACTGGAGATACCAATGGTGCAGGCTCAGACTCGGAGAACAGTTTTGGTGGTGAATCATCATTCAGTAAAATAACTGCATGTCTTGCTGACCTAAAACGCCAGGACTCTTCAGGAGTTGATGATCTAACTGGACCTCCCAAGAAACCTCCAGATGAGCAATTTGCACGTTTTCCTGCCAGTAACTGCTTGATGACAGGAGCGCTAAAAGCCATGGAAGAGGCAAATATTAAAGATAGTTTAAAGTTCACCCAAAGCTCAGAGTCTGTTTTGTCAAATGGTGAGGACTCCACTTCAACAAAAAAGCTTGCTGAGAAATCTGTGTCAGAATCAGATGAAAGTACCAAAAATTTATCAGTCAAGGCATCCGGCTGTGATAAATTGAGCTGCACTCCAGCTTTGTCTAGTTACTCTACTAGCACTTCTCCAAAATTACCAAGCACTGAAGAAGCCAACCGCAGTAGGCCGTTGATAAAATCAGAAGAGCAAGGCAGCTCGATTTCTGCAGAATCTGTGGATGCTGTTGCCCTTGGTGCTACCCGGGTCAAAAAAGACAATTATGCGTCTGATAGGTCATCATGTTCCTCACCGGCATCTTCACTTTTGTTTTTGGATGCCCACCAAGATGTTAAAGAGATAATATTTAAGTCATTAGTCGGCAAAGATGGCAAGTCGAGTCAGCTCGCCACCTTTCAGCCTAATGCGAACTTGAAGTTTAGTACTTTTTTAATGCTGCTAAAAGATAGGCATGATATCCGAGAGAGAGACGGCACTCCTCTTGTCCTGGAGCGAGGACCTACTAGTGCTCTTATGAAAGAAGAGCCATCTCTGATGCCACCAGAAGAGGCTGGTCCAAATGAGCAGTTGTGGGCTACTGGAAAGGGCAAGGTATCAGCCCTGAAATTTGCACATCCCAAACCCAAACAAGTAAGGTCCAGGCCCTCCCAGAAAAAGGAAATTGGGAGATGCGAACGGGGAGATGCCAGTTTCGTGAAAGGCGGGCAGACCCGAAGCACGAATCAAGGTTCAAAAAAGCGACTGAAGAGGAGTCGGCTGCCTGCTGCCAAGAAAGGCGTGGTAGGGGTGGCTCTTGGGTTGGTGGAGCCTACATTTGGTAAGTCACTGGGACTAGGTATTCCTCAATTTTCAGGGAAGTCTTCGTCATACCTTCCTGGGTCTGTACTCCATTCCCCTGGTCAAAGCACCATCACCAGTGTGGCCCCGAAGAAGCGCTGGCAGACCTTTGAGCCAATGGGTGATCAGCAGCCATTGAAAGCACCCCCTGAGCCTTGTGACGCTAATGGTGAAAGTCTGGCCTTTGTTCCACACTTGTCCAGCTGCCTTCATCCAAAGAACAATCTCCAGAGCCAGACTGGCACTGACATTACAAGTTCCACCCCCCCTGTCAGTGAAGGAAAAGAGGTTTCTTCAGGTAAGTTTTTGGCTGGTAATGGCAAATCAATGACTTGGTCTTTACCCTATTTATTTTAGCCGGATGTTGGCAGAAGATTGATTTTTAATTCATCCTTCACAGCATACCTACAAAATAAACGACAGAGAAAGCCAAGCAAAAGACTGATAGAATGGACAGAAGAATATGATCAGATATTTGCTACCAAGAAGAAGCCGAAGAAAACCCCGGAGCCTTCGAAAAAGGTTATAGGCTTCTTTATTCTTCTTCTTATTGTCATCATCATCCTTCTTAATATTAATACTGCTACTACTATTATTATTGAAATTGTAGATGATCCTTCTTTTGTTAAAAAAACAGCTTTGATCTCTATTTTAAAACCTTTATCGCTCAGTGCCCTCTACATTAACTGCAGGTGTCCGAGTCTAGCACAGAGCAGCTATCATCTACAAAGATCATGCACGACGTTTTGAACACACCTACAGAGATGCAGACCCCACAACAGTCTGAGGCTCATGACCGGCCCGTCACAGGGCAGCTCCCACCTCAAAATGCCCATGCCCCACCCGTAGACACACTTACCCCACCCCCAGAATCTGTACACTCCCCCGCTGGAGCAGGAGGTGTTGGGGAGTCGGCTAAAACAAAACTTGAAACATCTGCTGAACCTGGTGAGAAAGCATTTCAGCATTTCAGTTAATTCACTGCTTCAGTGAAATATATTTTATTGCAATACAAATGGATGTGCTGCGAAACGTACTGTAGTTTCCTACACTTTTACTTCAGCTTGTCCCCTGCCGTCCTCTTTCTAGCCTGCCAGGATGGGAAGAGACAGAGGAAACCGACGAAAAAAATCCTGGAATGTTCCATCGAGGCAGAACCCATCATAATCCCAAAGAGGAAGGTGTGGTTCTGTACTCAGTTTAAACCTGACTTTTGTGGTTCATATGCTCTCCATATTTTTACTTACGATTAAAATTAACCTGTGTTTTAATACCTTTTAAAGTTGCACCTCCTCGTTGCGGGTTCCTCATGACTGCTAGTCGTCGTGACCGAGGACTCCGTCCGTATCTTTTGACGGGGGGTTTATAGTTTTGATATATGACACACATGTTCTCGGGCGTCGTGCCTTGTTCACCCCCTCCCCTTTATCCCCTCTCTCGTCCGGGATCAGAAGTGTAGGGAACAAGGTAGAGGGGCAGAGGAGGAGGCAGGATCCCAGGACAATCAGGAAGGGGTGCATGAGGTGAGGGCAGGTGTGCAAATCAGGCAGGACGCTGGATGACAATTTGTATTCCCTCCAGCTGACCCGTGAATTGCCTTACCGTCGTATTTGCCTGTATAGCTAGCTATACTTAGGAATGTTTCGTTTTGCAGGCCAAGTCTACTAAGAAAGAAGTGCCTGTATCAAGTTCGTCCGGTCATGCTTCTAATTCAGGTCAGTAGCAGGAGAGGAAATTCGGAATGAATGCGGCTGAGGTGAGGGCAGCAGGGTCGATTAGCATATTGTCGACATGCTAGTCAGAGTTAGACGTGGTATGCGGTCCGCACATACTCATTCCAAGTAGTTGCCAGAAGCTGATCACCTTACTTTGAACTCAGGCTCCGCTAAATCGAAAATGGGTCCAGCAGTGCTACCACCAACATCGCAGAAGGACCAGTCAGATCCCCCGGAGTGCCTGGATGAAGAGGGACACTATGACTCTGTCGCATTGGGACTTCTGGAGGACGACCTCCAGCTGGATGGAAAGTCTTTGCAGGACTCAGAGGTGAGTCCATAGGCGGTGAGGTAAAGGTGCAAGGGGCCCGGGTTCAGGATGCTGTGAGCTGAGCAGTGGAGTTAGTCTGTCTGGCTCACAAGATGGTATCGGCACATAATCCTGTCCTTTCTGATACTGACTCCTCCTCCCGGATCCCCCCCTCCCCCCTTCCCACGCTTCCTCAGGGTTTTGGGTCGAGTTACGACGACGTCATGTCGTCCATGAAGGATGATGGGTCGTCCTCAAGCAAGAGGCCGCCGGGGGATAAGGGGGGTGCGGCGTCGCTGAAGGAAAACGTCTGCCAGGTGGGCTGGAGTCGTCGCCCACATCCTTCACAGCAGGAGCCCCAGGTTCGCCGGCCCGTCAAGACCTTTGACCTTCGGTCCTTCGATGTAGGTGTGTGAGAAGACGGGCGAGCTGCTTCTGTGCGAGGGCCAGTGCTGCGGCGCCTTCCACCTGCAGTGCATAGGCCTCACCGACATGCCCCAGGGCAAGTTCGTCTGTCAGGAATGCACCACCGGTGGGTCCTTCTGCCTGTTGTCTACAGGTGTACTCTAGGCGTACGTTTAAGTAACTCCTTTCCTGCTTTTTCATTTAGATGTTTAGTTAGATATTTATAGATGTCCAGGGTAGCCCTCCTGAACAGGCAGGAAGGAGTAAGCGACTCACAGAATTCCCACTGGCTCTCGTTTCCACCCCAGTGTGGAGGTGCTAGCCTTGGTAGTGCAGCGGCTTGCTGGTTTTCTGCAGCAGCCCCCACCTCCATCCACACCCTTGAACGAAGACTTAGCAGTTTGCTTCTGCAGGGTTTTTGGTTGCAGCCAGAGTGATCAGTAGCTAATACCAAAACATTGGTCTTGGACTTTCAACCCACTGCAGGATAGATTACCATGTTGTCAACCACTGGATTCACCCAATGGACCTTAAAAACCTCTGCTACTTGTAAAACTAAGACCAGCATATAGATATCTCTTGCCCTTCACTTTCGGCCATATATAAGAGCCTAACCTGATGCAGAGCGTTTTTCATGCTGTGGTTTTATAAGTGTTGGGGGTCACAGCCCCAAGTGGGTGCCGGTGACGTTCGCTGACAGCCCAACACTCTTGTGTTGTAGGCGCACACACGTGTTTCGTGTGTAAGAAGACGGGCACAGACGTGCGACGCTGCATGATCCCTGTGTGCGGGAAGTTCTACCACGGCGAGTGCATTGCCACGTATGCGCCCACTGTGCCGCAGGGTCGCAGCTTCCGCTGCGCGTTGCACGTCTGCCTGTCCTGCTACATCACCAACCCCGCCAACCCCTCCGCATCCAAAGGTGAGTCCCAGCCTGAACACAGCCTCCATCTTAAAGGGGAACCTCAAGGAATGTTTTTATTTTGACTCATATTTCCAAATACAGTCGATGGTGAAGTTTGGGCATTAATCACGGTTATTAATCATTGTGTGGCTTCATTGTTCTAGGGTTCACCGATTGAAAAGCTTTATTGTCATTTGTACATATGCAAGTACAAATGAAACGCTTGCGAACGTAAACGTATAATGATGAACAGTAGAGTACAGAACATTAAATAACAGAATAGTGAACCATAACATACAATATATGTACAATATACAAACAATATACAAATTCAAGAAGGACAATAAGGTGTGGGATTTAAAGTGGCAGCAATTAATTAATAACAGCGGTGATCAGGATACTGTGAGTTATCAGTGTGTTTATAACGTTCTTATTACTGTCGGAATGAAGCTGTTCCTGAGTTCGGTAATGGCTATGTTTCTGTCTCTGGTGCCAAGGCCGCCTGACACGCTGTGTGCGCTGCCCTGTCGCGTACCATGCCAACGACTACTGCATGGCCGCCGGCAGCATCGTCCTGGCCAACAACAGCTTCCTGTGCCCTAATCACTTCACTCCGCGCAAGGGCTGCCGCAACCACGAGCACGTCAACGTTAGCTGGTGCTTCGTCTGCTCCGAAGGTGCGCCCCGAGCCGGACATTAGCAAGGTCACGTGGTATGGAATCTGGGAAGCTCGGAGTTTGGGCACCCATGGGCCGATGAGCCTAGAATAGTTGCTAAGCTAGCTAACCAGCTTTGTTTTGTAGTAAAAATCAGTCAGCGAAGCGAGCCACAAAAATTGTTTTTGTTGAGCGTCCTGTTTTTGTAAACACCCCTACATACATTTTAGGTTGACTTGCTGTTGTTGTCTGAACTGCATTTCCATTGTGGCCCTGCAGGGGGCAGCCTTCTGTGCTGCGAATCATGTCCAGCTGCTTTCCACCGCGAGTGTCTCAACATCGACATGCCCGAGGGCAGCTGGTTCTGCAACGACTGCCGCGCTGGCAAAAAGCCACACTACAAAGAAATCGTTTGGGTCAAAGTTGGCCGATACAGGTCCCAAAGTGCTTCTTTCATTCTCTTTCCTTATGGTGATGGTGCTCAGTACAGTAGAGAACCACATTCAGCCCTTCTGGACCCAGTGCAAGCCATGATTCTCGTAGCTCGGTCCTAACCTTGCATCCTGATCCTCTTCCCTCAGGTGGTGGCCTGCTGAGATCAGCCACCCCAAGAACATTCCCGCCAACATCCAGCGCATGAAGCATGACGTCGGCGAGTTTCCTGTCCACTTTTTCGGCTCCAACGACTATCTCTGGACCTATCAGGCGCGGGTCTTCCCCTACATGGAGGGCGATACCAACAGCAAAGACAAAATGGGAAAGGGAGTGGACTCCATCTACAAAAAAGGTGCACATGCTTCTCTTATCAGACCTGCTACAAATGTACATGCATAACAGATTATCAGATCGCTTGTTAAACAGTCGTGTAATCGAAGGTAATCATGGGTTTAGGAGACATCTCACCATAGTCGTATTTTTTTGCACGTGCACTCAGGGTTGCTGGGAGTATAAAAGCTGATGATGTTCGAACATCCAAAAGGCATTTACTAAGGTTTCACAAAAGAATGGGGCGCCTGTTTAAGGGCTGTCAATTTGTATAATTGGATAAAATTATTTTAATTTAACAATATGAGGAAATTAGGAAGGAAAGAGAATATATCCCGTAGAGAAAGAGATGGAGTTCGGTAAAAATTGTTCCAGGGTTTTAAGGATTTCAGTATTGCCATACGTGGAGGCAGTTGAAAGATCATAGGGTCCCAGTATATGAAATCCTGCAGCCAGTGCACATGACCACCATATTATTGAAGAATACAAAGCTATGAAAGTAAAGCCTGGGGCACAAATGTACATCAAAACTTTTTTTTACATGACGGGTAGTAGTGGTTTGGGATAAGATTCTGTGCTTCCTATCACCTGTGATGTTTCCTCATAATCGTCCCGTTTTACGCGCTCCGTATGTTTCATCCCGTTCAGCTCTCCAGGAAGCCGCCAGAAGGTTCAAAGAGCTCCAGGCCGAGCAGGAGCTGCGGCAGCTCCAAGAGGACAGGAGGAATGACAAGAGGCCTCCGCCATACAAGCACATAAAGGTAGCCCCCATGGTCTCTGGGTATGCGTGGCATCAACCCAGAAGAACCATGGTGAACCGGTTCTCCCCTCGGCGTCTAATCAGGTCAACCGGCCGATCGGCAAGGTGCTGATCATCACGGCCGACCTGTCGGAGATCCCGCGCTGCAACTGCAAGGCCACCGACGAGAACCCGTGCGGAATGGACTCGGAGTGCATCAACCGCATGCTGCTCTACGAGTGCCACCCGCAGGTGTGCCCGGCGGGCGAGCGCTGCCAGAACCAGTGCTTCACCAAGCGCCAGTACACCCCAGTGGACATCTTCCGCACGCTGGCGCGTGGTTGGGGCCTGCGTAGCTGCTATGACATAAAGAAGGTGTGTTCTTCAGGTCCTGGGATGGAAACCAGCTGGCAAGAACCTTGAATGAAAGAGAATCTGTTCCTACACAGAGCATGTGATGCAGTTGCTTGGCAGGGATGACACGTAGCGTTGCAGTTGTTTGACAGGGATGACACGTAGCGTTAGGGTCTAACCCTAACCTTAACCCTTCTTGCATGGGGTGTATAATGACTCAGATTGCACCTCCTGTGGTTAGTTGGCACAGGTACCATGTAGGTTTATGGTCTAACCCTAACCTTAACCTAACTTTTATGGAAAATATGATTTTATAATAAGTATTTTCAAGTACATTTTTCTTTCAACTATGTGATATACATTAGAAAAATCGCATAGCCACGCCTTTGTTGTTTTTCAATGAGAAATAAATTTTAAACAAAAAAAGAACTGCTCAATTTGAAATACAACTTTCCAGGACGCAACTCCTTGTATAACCAACCACTGCCCGATTTTTGTTGCAACTGGAGTTAAATTAATTATAAATGAAAAAACAAAGGAAATTTGAAGACTAACTTTAAATGGTTACTAATCATTTAGATGACAGGCCTTTATTAAGCCTTTGAGCCTATGGAATATTTTATGTGTTTAGAGTTACACAATGAGTTTTACTGAAATTAATGTTATAGAACAACACGTTGAATAAAACGCTGAATATTTCTCGCCAAGTAATTGTACCCAGTAATCAGAATCAGAAAACCTTTAATAATTATAATGAAGTGTAAACCGCTTATAGTGGTCTGTTGCTTTTATGGATCAAAATTATGGACAGAATCATTCCCATATAAATACCTTTTAAATAATTTGCTTATAGTAATCAATGTTCATTTTGGGTCTTTTTATACATAACAACATATGGAAAAAATTTAAATTACAGCAAGTTTTTTTTTTTTTTTTACTTGTGGTAACCCATCTTCTTCTGGCTAGCTACCTGAGGCTAATTTTCTCTCAATAGACTCATTAAAGCATATGATAAACTGCCAAAAACAACCCAACAACATGCAGTAGCAAAACTACAATAACCTGAATTTTATGTACTGTACTGTAGTATAATATAGCGTATTTGATTTATACACAGTTCTGTAATTTAATTTGTGCAGTACTGTAACTTGAAAAGCATTTGAATCTGCTGTACTGTATTTTGAAGAAGTCGATAAAATTCAGGACATAGCGACACTGTCCGTTTTTTTACCTTACATTCATGTGATAAATATATAAATGTCATTTGGCTGGTAATCTGCCTGACACACAAAGAAAAAGGACAAAAAACTGGTTATAATGATCATCGGCTTATAGGGATTCATTTCAACCAGACAGACGTGATCACTATAAGCGGGTTCCACTGTACATAAATAGTTATGCAAGATGGATTGTTAATTCAGCCTCAGGAGTGGGTTAGCGAAGTTCAGATGCTTATATGTTTTATGGAGGCGATTCTTGATTGCCAGAACTGGTTAATGGCTTACTAGTCCGTTTGATAGGAGAATCTGAAGGACAGATAACTGGAGTCCATAGAAATATGTTGTGCTTGTGTAGATCCATGGATTTGGAGAGTATTAGAGGTCATTTTATGCATTTTATACTGTTGGAAGATTGGTTATATAATGAGTAGTACAATGTTTGTAGCTTTAATTTACAAATAAAACAGTACTTTACATGCATACCAAAGTCAGAAGCCCCTGTTATGAATCATTAGCTGTAATGCTAGACCTTGCTGGCTGTGTAGGATCACGGTAGATGAATGTGCTCGTCACAGAGCTGTTGTTTTTCTGACTCAGGGGCAGTTCGTGAGCGAGTACGTGGGGGAGGTGATCGACGAGGAGGAGTGTCGAGCCCGGATCAAGCACGCGCAGGACAACGACATCGGCAACTTCTACATGCTGACGTTGGACAAGGTGGGGATATTGGGGGGTGGAGAGGTCAGGGGATGGGAGGCGTGGAATGCAGGGCGCCGAACAGGCCCCCTCTCCCGCCGAACCGCTCATCACCACGCCCCCTGCTGGCTGTGCGGCAGGATCGCATCATTGACGCGGGCCCCAAGGGGAACCAGGCACGGTTCATGAACCACAGCTGCCAGCCCAACTGTGAGACGCAGAAGTGGACGGTGAACGGGGACACGCGCGTCGGCCTCTTTGCACTCATGGACATCCCAGCAGGTGCGGAGCGTCGCCGTTGCCTTGACGATTTTCAGTGTCGACTTAACGACTTTCTGTGGCGACTGTCCGTCAACTAGCCGCTTATAGAAACCAAAAAAAACCACTATGTCAATTCGTCCAGGTAAAATCTTAACATGGCACCTTCTCAGACAGTGCAACACAAACAAAATCCTGTCTGAATTTGGATGATTTGTGTTATTTTTATTATCTAAAGTGGGTGTAGCAAACACTTTTTTTTTTTTAGGTGACCAGTTGTCTCGGGATAAATCGTTTCCTTTGGTAAAAGAAGCCTTGAACTCTTTCTCTGTTTGTGGTAGAGCTTCCAGAATGTTCTGTCTTCATATCAGAAGTCTCTACTTCTGTGAACCATCTCTACAGGTACGGAGCTGACCTTCAACTATAACCTGGAATGCCTGGGCAACGGAAAGACAGTCTGTAAATGCGGGGCACCCAACTGTAGCGGGTTCCTCGGGGTGCGGCCCAAGGTGAGCGCACTGCCCCGAGGCCATGGGCACTCGGAGGCGATAGACCTTGTTGTCCTCATTCAGAGATGGAGTCACTGTAGATAACAGACAAAATTCATTCTAAAAACACATAATTGGGGACAACAGTGGGGTTATTGTCATTAACAAAAAGATTTTTGTAAACTGAAATAAAATTAGGTGGGAAAACTGCAAGTAAGCAAAAATATAAATGTTGCTCCCAATAATAACTGAAACAAAAAAAAAAACAAACATCAAATACTTTTTTACTGTTTTTGAATACTATTTTGCTGAGGTAATGAGTTGTTTATATTTAATTACCGTTAATAATACCTGAACATGTTTTGCTCATTTTGAAGACTTTAATATATTATGTACACTGTATACATACATGCGTATACAGCTCCCCCGGTTACGATGGTCCGTGTTACGATATTTCGGCTTTACGATCTGTAAATATTTTTCACTTTCAGTACATTATTCAATAAATTACATGAGGTAATCAACACTTTATTGTAAAATAGGCTTTGTGTTAATGATTTTGCCCAACTGTAGGCTAATGTAAGTTTTCTAAACTTGTTTAAGGTGGGCTGGGCTATGATGTTTGTAAGGTTAGGTGTACTGTATTAAAATGCATTTACGCGTTTTTGCCTTACGATATTTTCGTCTTATGATAGGTTTATTAGAATGGAATCCCTTCGTAACCTGGGAAGTGTCTGTATAGGATTCTCTAAGCATCAGACGCAAAAAAAAATTCTACAACTTTGAATCTCTCGCTTTAAATAAATTACTAAAACTTAAACTGAAATGAAAATATTTCAAAATAAAAATATATATTTAAAGTAGAATTGTATCTTTAAAATAAAAACTGAAATCACACTAAGGACACACTAAACTGGATTTCACATGAAAATTTAAAATAATATAAAAATAAGAAAAATCAAAGTCAATAATACTGCTTCCAAATGCCTTTTGTCTTACAACTTCTAGAATTTTTGTTCTCTTGTTCTTTGCTTAATTGCAATTATAATTGAGCAATATGGTGAAAGATCAACACGAAATGGTTAAAGATCCAGCGACCAAGCTCGTTTTCCAGTGGGAGTTGAAGCCGATGGGTAAACGTGCTTGTTTCTCAGAACCAGCCGACGGCGGAGGACAAGGCGCGAAAGCAGAAGAAGAAGGTCCCTGTGAAGAGGAAGAGCCAGTCCGAGGTGACCAGGGAGCGGGAGGACGAGTGCTTCACCTGCGGTGACAGCGGACAGGTTATCTCCTGCAAGAAGCCCGGCTGCCCGAAGGTGTACCATGCAGACTGCCTCAACCTGACGAAGAGGCCGGCAGGTCAGAGTCGCAGGGTCTCCGGCAGAAATCAGGCCCTCAGGCCCTGTGATGTCCATGATGCGGAAAATGCGGACAGAATCGAGGCATGAAAACGGCATTTACGTATAAATCCAGAATCGCGAGGAATTTGTGGATATTTTGTTGACATTCCAAACCTATGAATTTTTTCAGATTTTGCAATTGCCTAGATACTGTAAAATAACCTCGCAGTAGTCATACCCAGAGACTTTTTTAATAGGAAGGCCAAATCTGACGAAACCAGTGCAAGAATGTTGCCTTACCATAAGGCTCGTTTCAACTGCAGGACCTCCAGCGTTTACGGTAATGGCCCCCTAATCGGCCATTGCAGCCTCGTGTGTCGTCATCACAGCGTAGGAACCAGTGATGTAGGGGTGACCCGAACTCGGCCGATGCTTTTAACCAACCCGAATGCGACTCAAACAGCTAATAAGGGCAAAACGATGCCTGACCTGCTATACAGTATATGCTTAAAATTTAATAACCTGCCTGGTGACCCGAATATGCCAGAACAGAGAACGAAAAGTTTTTGTAAGCTGCCGAACCAAAAAAATGAACCTTAAAGGAAACAAAAGTGGATACAGGCAATAGAGACACAGCACAATGCTTCTTGCTCCAAAAACTATAAGACTTTTATCTCCATAAAGGCTAATTTTTTTAAAACATTGTAAACCTGATACGGATCAAAATAAATCTGAAAAAACTGAATTTAGAAAAAAAAATAAAACGAAATATGAGAAAAAATAAACCGTATTTCATAGGGCTCCAAGGGTCCGCAAGATCTAGTTTCCTTCTGAATTGTTTTTGGCATAATTAGTGGTGTAGTTCTGTGTAAACTTTGGCTGATACCTATAACTGGTTAACCTCTGAGCACCACAAATCCCTAGTGACATTACTTCTTAAGGTCCTTAAGGTTGACCATGATAGACACATTGAACCAATGACAGCATCTTGATTCTTAACAAATATTGGCCAATACCAGAATGTTATCTGATATATCATCCATTTGTAAGTATAATTTCCATTTCATCCTCTGCTTTTTCAGTCACGCTGAGTGCCTGTACTGAAGGACTTTTAATTGCCGTGTGTATATTTGGTTATTTATTTAGCTAGCAGTGGAGCATGGTGGCTTGGTAACCACATTGTTGAGTCACGCCTGCAGGGTTGGGATAAGACCAAAGCCACCTTGTGACCATGATCAGGATTAGTGGTTGGTTAGAAGATGAATGGTCATTGGATGGAAAGATACTTTAAAATAAGCATGAACGCGTCATTAACAGGCATGTTAAGTGAAAAAACAATATACTCCTTTCCGTGATATGAGCGCATGCAGAACCAAAATCAGAGTCAGAAGGATCTGTATTGCCCAAGTATATTAAAGATATAAGGAATTGGTGTCTTGGTGGCTGTTACCTGATGTAACATATTACATGCAGAACAATTTCAAGGCCGTTTACGGAAGTATATAAATTGTGTATGTAATAAATGTTAAATAAACATTAAAGTATGCAAAAATGTCCCAAAGCAGCTCACACCATGTTTAAGGGCTGAAGCTTGTCGTCTGGGTGGGAGGGGCTTCCAGGGGGAGGTGGTTGAATACTTTGGATTTGCAAACGGGGGTGTCCTATGACATGTCCGGGTGTGTGGCATGCGGAAGGTTCTAGCGACTGGCTCGCCCTGTGTTGCAGGCCGCTGGGAATGCCCCTGGCATCAGTGTGACGCGTGTGGCGCCGAGGCAGCCTCCTTCTGTGAGATGTGCCCCAGCTCCTTCTGCGAGTGCCACCGCGACGGCATGCTCTTCATCTCCAGGCTGGACGGCCGCCTCTCCTGCAGCGAACACGACCCCTGCGGCCCGGAGCCACTCGAGCCAGGCGAGGTGCGTGAGTGTCCCATCGACCAAGCGGGAGCTGCGGGCGGGAGCAGGGGCAGGGGCGGGGGCGGGACCGGGGGCGGGGCATCCTCTGGTGCCGTCCCTGCCACATTTCCCCGAACCATAGCCCCCGACGATGGGCCGCTGCCGCATGCCGGATACCCCAAAACCCACCAGGATTTCGACTCCGGAAGCCATGGCCTTTACTCCCCTATATCTTCCTATGGCGACGGCAAAGACAAAGACGAAGAGGAGCTGGAGGAAGATGAAGAGGAGCTTCTGAACCTGGAAGGGGAGGGGGACAGTGCGGAAGATAGTCCAGAGCCCAGCACCACTGAGCTGAAGGATGGTGAGTCCCAAGGGCTGAAGACAGAGGGCGCCACTGAGAAGACGTCCGAGTAACAGTCTTGTGTCCCGTTGGCCACTGCTCTCTGTCTGCAAGGAGGCTTTGACACTACGCAGACATTCCAGGGGGGTGGTGGTAAGGGGGAGGGGGTATAGCTAGGGAGACTGATGCAAGGCAGTGGGGGGGCCTCGGTTCCGCTCTTCGACTTGCATGCACCACTCCCATGGGCTTCCCGTACGATGTGAAGGAGCTTCTAGAAGTTTGACCCTATCAGGTTTCAGCTGTGAAAGACCTCTGTGAGGGACCTTAGCGGCTCAGAGATCGGGCTTCAAGAAACCTGCCCGTTTTACGTTTGCGTCCATAAGATATTACTGCATCTAGGTTTTTTTTTTTAGTTTTTTTTAGTTTTTTTGATGTTTAAATTTAAAAATTCTAGGAGAACAGACATTTTTGACATCCAGACACACTTGCTGAAAGGCCAGTATCCTCAATCAAGGGACAAATTTTTATTTGCTAAAACTCTCAGCTTAGAGGAGGTCCACACCAATTGTATTTCTTCACAGGAAAGCAAGTTAATCAACGGAGAGAGCGGCCAAGGTTGCGGGATTGGGTAACTGAAGAAATTTTGGTATGCCACAAATTTCAGCACCTCGCATCGTCAGTTACAGGAAATTTGCCCTTGCTGGGCCCAGAACATGCATGCATATACGTATGTATGCTGCAGTCTTGATCCAAAAGTCACATAACAATCTCCAGTCATTTTATGGCACATTTTACCAGAAACGGTGACCATTTTGGGTCCACTCTACATGCCGTTTTTATTATCAAAATCAATACTGAAAGAGTGAATGTCACATAGGCTTGGAGTTGGAGAGGTAATACAGGAGGAATTGCTTTGATAGAAGATTGTAACATCGCAGAAACGTGGATGCTGGTGACCTTTAACCCCCCCCACCCCCATAGCTCTGCATTCCCACGGAAGATTATGACAAGATTATTGCGGACAATTAAGAACATTCCATGCAGGTCTGGTTACTCATTTTGGACATTGTGAGTATGTCCAATAGTTTATTCCCTTGTTTTTTTTTTTTTTGTTCCTTGATTGATCATGGTGATTTTTTTGTACATTTTGAAAATATTTTCATGCTAAGTCTCTGCTGGAGTAATTAGCACCTCATTTGCGGCCTCTGCGAATCAGACGTCCAGTTCAAATCTACGGAGCCATGGGGGTAACTATGTCCCTCCATCCTGGAAGAAGAGAATGAACCGATGTTTCAGAAGGGCAGAGGTTGGCCGAGGTTAGCTTGTGTGGGTCAAAAGACCGGCCTCTGATTGGGCGGTCTGGGAAAGCAGCAGTGGATTCCCGTGACGGTCACCTGTTGACGTCTGCAGGCCCTCCTGGACGCAAGCTCACCTCCCCCGAGCTTCCCGGCCTCGCCACCAGAGCGGCACTGTGGTTCTCGCCGTTTCCCGTAGATACCCCTTTACCCATGCCAGAGTGTGCTGGAAGATCGTGTTTGTAACTAGCGTGTGTAATATTTCACAGTGTATTTATATTGTCACACTCATCACGCACAAAAAAAATTAATAATGCTCCTCTCGGAGCGAGTCGGCTCTCCTCCTCCCCCGGTCTTCACCTCCTCCATCTTCCTGTACAGCTAACGGTTACTTGTGGCCTCCTTGGTTTGAGACCTAAGTTGATCTTTAATGGATACCAAACACTACAGTCATCGTCATCATGTATTTGTTTAGCCTTTGCATAAATACCATCTCCCTCATTTCTCCTTAATCATGCTAAGAGAACTGAAATCCGTATCCGATGTTGAATAACTGAAGTCACTGCCAAGTTCATGCCCATTGACGTGTTAACTGACACACAAATGTTCCTCTGTTGAACCCTACTGGTAAGACGTTAGGACAGGGTTTGGCTTTGGGAAGACCGTTGGACTGTCTGTACTGGAAGTGGGTTCCTGTAGACCCGGAATCTTGGGTCTAGTACTCTACTGACTGATTTACGCCAATGAGATGTCAGTTAGGGAAACGTGCAGTATTTCGGTAATTACATGCAGAAGGTTTGTAATTAAACATGAAGGGACAAGAGCAGAAATGGCAAACAAATCTAGTCATGGTAAAAAAAATAAAAACACCTCAATGTCCCCTTTAAATATTATAACCTAGCATAGATGTGGAACCAAGAAACACAATAGATTGAGGTAATTGGTCTACTAAGGTTTGGTAGTGGAAATGGCTTGAGTAGCAGTGTCTGCTTTAGCAGAAGAGTAACCTTACACCTATCATACTTGAGACAATCTAAGTATGTTATTTTTTATGCGTACGTGTAGCCATGTGTCTTGAACATGCGTGAGGATTTGAAGTTTGTGTTGGTTTCAGAAAAGTTTTTACATGCGCCAGTTGACACAGTGGGGTCTTGACTTTCCCCACGCTCTGTCATCTGTTCGAGTGTGTGTTACTTTGGCGACTAAAGTTAAAATGCTACCGCGACAGTGGCTTGTGAAGGCTGCTATTTGCAGAGGCTGGAAGGGGATTCCCTTCAGCCACCAGTAGTGAGTAGGGGTGGAAAAAATGACAACAAGCCCCTGCATTTTAGAGTTCACAAGAAAGAGGGGTTGTTAGATTTTCTTTAATTCATTTGGATTTTAGTGGCGCCCCCTACTGTTATGTGTCCCACCAAATATATTTTGTTGAAAGTGGTACAGAAGTACTGGTGACACACCCAGAGTTTTACCTAACAACTATCCAAGTGTAAGGTTCCTGTAATTATGAATGAAAGATGTTTAAGTTTAAAGAACAGTCTGTCATTTTAGAGGAAATTATGAGGCCTCAAATCACTGATGCTATGTGTATACACTTGTGTATAAAACCTATGTATGCACTTAGTGTCTGGGATACAGGAGAGAGGAGGAGTTTTTAAATTACTTTTGAAAATTGTAAGGAAAAAAATTATGCTAAAAAACTTAAATTTAAATTTTTAAATTTAAATTAGTGTATCTCAGATAACTATAATCAGAACTATCTTAGAAGAAATTTAAAGAATGAACCCTCCCTCAACCACGAGATATATTTTTGGTTCTTTCGGTAAGAAAACTTTAAATTTTTATTATTTTATTTGTTACATTCCCTGCATAACACAGGGCTCAAGGTTGGGGCATTCCGGCAAATTCTGCCACTTCATTTCCTGTGCGGGCTCTAACACAGCGTTTGTGCACCAAACTAAAAATGGAATGAATTAGACTGAAATGCACCAGTTTTCCTGATTTAATTAAACAGCCCAGACAGTCACCATTAAAAACCAGTCTTTTGCAGTGAACTGTGGTCATCTTTCCAGAACATTCTGAAAATTATTAATAGAGATTTTTTTTTTTTTTTTTTTTTTTATAAAAACTGTAATTTTATTCTGCTTCGCCAGCCTTGGTTACGCGACGGAAATTTTGATACTGAAACTTTCCTGGGAAAGTAGTCGTACATTGCCGTTGAATATATAACAAAATCCAGGTAGGAGATTGTTGTTTTCATGCATTCCCACTAAACCAATCCTACTGTTAGGGGTTTGTTGCATAGCTGCTGTGTGGAGACAAGTATTTATAGACATTACCTGTAAAGGTTTATAAATATTAGAGCTATTACTTTTTAATTTGTACTTTCCTGCTTTTAGAAGGTTGGTGTGCTTGCTCTTTCGTTTGAAGCCTTCAACGTGAGAACTAGTCATCGGTTTAGCGAAAAACTTGCTGTCCTAAAGAAAGAAAAAAAAAAAACTGCTGCCATGTGAGAGACTTGCTCAACTATATTGTAGTCCTTTGTACATAATAAAAAAAGATACTGTAAGTAAAGTTTCTCTTCAATCGTGACTACAGGACGTCTGTTTCTTCTGTTGTGCTCTACCTGTGAAAGGTTAACGCGATTAGCGTATCGGTCGGTGTTTTAAAAGAAATGAAAAAGTGTTTCTTCACTAAATTCGAGCACATAAGCCTCACAAAATCCACAGCCATCAATGTTTCCATCTTTGCATTGCTTTGTTTATTTACGTCAAAGGGTCTTTAAGTGGTGGAAACGTATTCTTGACAAGCTACTCTAGGATTAGAGTTTTGGACCGTAACAATTATAGGAAATATATACAATCATTTAAATGTTTATACCATTTCGGGTATGGAAAGTTACGAGTCATATCACAGACAATAAGCCCCAGTTACACCATTTATTGTTTTAACGTTACAAAGTATTTTTACGAACGAAGGCTGAGGTCCTACTTGCACTTGTCAAATTAGGCAGGAAATCTGTGTGCTTCTTCCCTGGGATCCCCACAACAACCAGCAAAAGTTTGGGTGGGGTGGGGGAGGGATGTGATGCTGGTTAATAGCCTCTTAAATGCCCCCCTCCCTTCCTCTGTTTTAGACATGCAAGTAGGCCTCTGGTGAAATGAATAAGGCTCAATGGTATTAAAAAAAAAAAAAAAAACTTCCAGATTTGTTTTTCCTCAGCCACAAATAAAATTGAAAGCAGACAAGATTTGCGTAGCACTAACTCATATACAATACACAAACTATTAAAAAACTGCTTAATATACAAATATCATAAAGATTCTGTACCCTCAACATAAACTTATATTGTAGACAACACATTCATTTGACTGCCCCCCCCAAAAAAAATATAACTAGTTAAAAAAACTGCTTAGACATACTGTGTAGGATTTTAGAAGACTGTTGCATTCTGGGAGAGGGTCTTACCTTCCAGCTATACTTTAGTCAACGCGATTGTTATTTTAAATATTTCCTAAAGGAGAAACCCCCGAGTTCCTGTATAAAAATATCACGTCTCAGTAGCTATTACTCTATTAGAGTAACGATGGCACATTAAATTCGTAAACTGGCAGTAGCTAAACCATTGCAGGTGTGACCCAAGGTAAAGTCGAAAAAAAAAAAACAGGACTTTGCAATTTTGTAAAACCTTTTTTAATAAAAGCAAATGGCCACTCGAGTGAGTGGGGTTCCCTTCTGTGCAAAGTGGCGGTTTTCGACGTGGACAAAAACTAAGCGTAGCATCGTTATAAATTAAACGTCAGGCTTTGCTGGGTGATACAAGCACTTTCTTGTCCTCGTCCCCGTCCGATACGCTAACGAACTCCACGCGTCACGTCCTTGGATGTCCCTTTGATGCGGTTTTCCAGTCATTTTCCCCCAAAGGTGTCATTGGTTTGTAAATTTTCAAAAAAATGGATTGATATCGCCCCGCCCCTACGGTCATGCGGGGCAGGACGCCGTCAAAGGAGCATACACCCGTCCATCATCAGTTGCGGCAGCAGGAGTAAGGAAAATTGCCCTTCTGCTCCATGTTTACCCCTTTGTCCTCTGTGAAGAAGAGCAGCACAACGTCAAGCTGATAAACTTACCGGCACCGAGACCTTAGCAGAACCCATCACCCACCCCTTGAAATATCTGAGGGGGGCAACCAGATGCTGCCATTTCTGCTCAGTCACTGGGTCTCAGTCTTTGATCCGACCCCCACTGTCAATTGAACTCCATCATCTAATCGGTCATCCTTCGCACTAAGGATTCAAGATTTTTCATTTGTCACAGTTATACAAGTGCAACATGAAATGAAATGTACCCTGATTCGGTCCTGAGGCTGTGCAATAAGGTTTGGCAAATTAAATTAAGAATTTATATATAAAAGGATAAGACTAAAGGTAATGAAAATATATAGAAAATATATATCGGAATAACATTATAATTATAGGCAATATCTATACAATGTGCAACATTACAGCTATAGGGAATATTTTTATAAGGTACTATTATTACTATTACTATTATTATAAGGTTCTACTGCTTAATATGTTATAAGTTGCATGCATCGTTTGGGGGCTGTATGTGGCACAGCAATCTGGGACACTGCTTCTAAAGCGATGGTTGTCGGTTTGAATCCCACGGTTGGCTGGATGATTTTACCCTTAACTCCAAATGATTCAGGGACTGTCTGATCCTGCTTTCTCATTTGTACATTGCTTTGGATCAAAGTATCGGTTAAATAAATTAAAATTAAAATGTAAGCCAACACTGGTCTGGGTTTTAAACTTGCCCATAAAATGGCCGATGTGACCAAGCAAGGGAAAGTAAAAATCGCTGCATTAACCCATGATGGAGACAGGGCTGCACGATATCACATCACAATGTACTCATGATTATATGTCAAATACGCCGATAATCGCCACGGCTTTAGATGATGAGTGAAACATTTGTCCGGATGCCATCTTTTTGGTACTGTACGGATGTTTACTTACGCCCACAATTTGTTAAGCAGATTAGTAGTACACCTAAAATATGTCATTTGTATAAATTCAGCATATTCCTGTTTAATAAACTTGCGGAACTTAAAACCGCAGGAAGTACCACCACACCGCCAACGTCGTCTGACCTTGTTTATGCACAAATTAATATCTTTTAAAAGGTGTTTGTGGCTGCTGTTCTGTCCCTTTCTTCACCGCCCTTTCAGTGCTCATCGCTTCCACGATTTACCAAAACGGTACTATGTGGCGTGCTCCGCTAAACTAATTTAATAAGCATAAGGAAACGCTGAATTTATACGGATTACTAACTTATGGGCGTCGCAATGCGCCTCATTAATATTTTTGGCATACTAGTTTGCTTACCAAATTGCGTGTGTAAGTAACCTGCATAGAACTGAATTACCGGCATCTAAAGTTCTAGTGATTATCGTGAATGCGGCGGGTACATCTCCATGTGATATCGTGCAACCCTAGATGGAGACACCGAAGCTCAGCCCATTCCTTAAACAAACAAGTGCCCCTCACTAAGGCGCAGAGAACAAACTCTGGCAGATACACTCTCCGGAGGCCTCAGAAGCAGCTCACCTGACATGACCTCGAAGGCAGAGCTGCAGTAATCATCTGCAATCTTCCTGAAGAGCTCCTCTGCCAATGACAATGCAGGAAACCCAGCGGTTACCGTAGGGAGGCGCCATGGAGACGGGCATCCATCTTTTAACACGACAAACCTGACCCGCAGGTGTCAAATGTTACTAACCCAGCCAAAAAATCAAAGCGAGTTACCGTTCGTTTACAGTGGTAAGTGGGAACATTAACTTGGGTGTACAAATCACAAGAAGAGTCAACACTCACCCACGTTATGACCAGTCTTACTGGAGGTTTCAAAATGCTGAGCTTTTATTTCTACAAAAGGACAATAAAAACAATTCTGCTATTAAAAAGCACACTGTTATAACTTTTCTGTAAAATGCCATTAGTGGACGTTTTGTGTTCGAAACTACTTTATAGAATTGAACTGAACTTTGAAGACTAATCATACTGGGTGTTGAGTATATTATAAACAAATGAGGCGGTTCGGACTGGATAGCTCCTACGCATACCATCTGCAAAGTCTTGAACATCATGATAATCTACTTGTCGGGCACTGCGGTCACATTCAACGAGGTCATTCTTTGTTCCACACAAGTATATCACGCATTGCTGAAGAATCAAACAAAAGTTAGGCTGAGGCTAATTAAAATGTCTCGGCACAAGTACTGTGATAAGTAATCGGGGGGGTTTGCACCTGGAATTGATGTTGCCATGACAACACAAAAGCCCAGATATCGGAATGGGTGTTTATCAATACCAAGAACACAAAGATCATACTTGTATTCTTGGCAAGACCGGTCTTGCTAACTTGTCTCCCAAGAATGAACTTGGGACGCAGTGTATCATGGGATTGGTCTCTTGGTGAGGATGCAACCGACGTGTCTTTGATATTTGGAGAAGGGTCCAGCTGCAGACGCCTGTAGAGTGGAGCTCCACCGGAAATACGTCACCTCCACAGGAAATACGTGATTTTAAGGGGCGTAAAGTGGAGCTCCACAGGAAACACGTGACATGGAATTATTTTTACATGCCTGTGTTGACCAGCGGAGCCTCCGGGTTAATGCTGTCTGTTATGAGAAAGATTAAATTACTGGCACATGAGTGTGTTGATTGATTCTGTTTGTTGTTGCTGTCTAAATAAATTTAGCAGTTGATTGAATATAATTGTTACATGTTGATCATCATTTATACAACACATACAGTGCTGCATATAACTGGTACGCAAGTACGCATTCACCTTTAAAAGCGATACGTGCGGCAATCGATTGCTGTGACAGTGTAAATGCGTACGTATTTTATGTGCATTTGCGCTGATATGACATGATATGATATATGGCTGATATGATTTGCGCTAGTATATGTTTATAACAGTTAAGGCAAGACCAATATATATATTAGTAATATGTGTGGAAAGTAACATAATAGCAATTGTGTATGTATGGCATGTTTATAACTG